TAGTTGTTGTTATGTTATTGCTTTGCTATGTTTGCATCCTGGTAGTTAGGATGGTATGCGTTAGAGACCTGGTTAAGGTCGGTACCCGGGATATAGGGTAATGTTATGCTAGTGACCGGGTTGGTCGGAATCATGGTTAGGATATTGATATGCTATGTGATCTGTTAGACTGCTTGTCTGGTTAGAGATTTGTTATGTGATTGATTGTTTTATGTGCACATGGTTGTTTGACGGGGGTTGGGTTGAGGCGGGTCTTGCTTAGTGCTGTAGGCCAACATACCCAGGGTGGACCGGATATTCCGAAGGCCCATCGAGCGGTCCGGATAGGCTGAAGGCCCCAAGAGGGCGGACCAGACGTGCCGAGGCTCGGAGAGTGGACCAGGCCGACTGAAGGCCCGACGCGGGCGGACCAGTCATACTGCAGACTCAGAGAGTGGACCAGGTGGATTGAAGGCCTGGTGCGGGCGGACCAATCACACTGTAGACTCGACGTATACATTTGGGTTCTATTTGTGATGGACCAGGTGGACTGAAGGCCCGGTGCGGGCGGACCAGTCACACAGTAGACCCGATGTGCGTGGCTGTTCTATTTGTGATATGATATGAGTATGTTATGTGTGGTTGGTATTTTGGTGGTAACTCACTAAACTTTTGGGCTTACAGTTGTAGTGTTATGTTTCAGGTACTTCAGGAGATCGTGGCAAGGCGAAGGTGTGATCGTAACGCTCCTCATGTTTTACGATTTTTATGATATGGTTCTGGGGGATACTCTGATAATAAACTATTTTGAGTTCGAGATGGATGAAGTTAATGGTTTTTTGAATGAATGAAAATATTTTAATTTGACTCAATTTTTATGGATGTTACAATGCACAACAAATATTAACATACTAGTTGCAATTCATAAGCATGGTTTAATTTTGGGAAACACTTACTTGAGCTCGGCCGATCGCACGCATTGCACTCTCCCTTTTTACTTAAGAAAACGGTTTTCAGAAAAACTTGACATTTGTTCTTTTGAAAAGGTTACCATTTCCTCAGTTTGAGTTCTGACACACCCGAGGGTGTGCCCAAATCCCTCAACCCAAGGCTATGATACCTACTTGTAACAGCCTAAAAACAAATAAAAATGTTCATTTTTAAAATAGGAATTACAATATTAATTTGTTCCCAAAAATCCAATACATCATATCATGTCAAAATATCAGAGTATTAATATCAATAATTGCAAAAAATATTGGAGAGTGAATATTGCGCCATCAAGCCGGGCCCTTCCCCTTAGTACCAGAAGTACCTAAAAACACTCAAATAAACTGTAAGCAAAAGCTTAGCGAGTTCCCAAAAATATCACAAAACATATAGCCATAGAATACCATGCGACATACATATAGTTTCCATGGGCTATCCCCATGGTCTTTCCCCAGGTATGCCATGGGCTACCCCTTTGGTCTGATATCCAAGTACCATGGGCTACCCCCATGGTCGTTACTTGGAATGCCATAGGCTACCCCCATAGTATGATATCCAAGTGACATGGGCTACCCCCATGGTCTTCATACAAGTGCCACGGGCTACCCCCAGGGTCTTAAGACAATTAAATACATAAACAACTATCAATCCTCATGTCAGGTAATGGGCCGACATTGGTGCCTTCGACCCATTGATATAGTGAGAAGACACACCTCAAACTGCTGATAAATAATAACTGCTCGGCTACCGGTCCGAAAATATCACACTGTAAATATATAATTTACCCTAATTATAATTATGATACAAACCCACTCATGGGCCCAAAATCCCTAAGTCCAAACTCTTCAAGTAAGGCCCAAAGGCCTTTCTCCTTTAATGGGCCCAACTACCCTTGGGCCAAAATCAATAACGAACCATAAGGCCCAAAAGGCCCAACAATGACACCTAAGGCCCATTCCATGACACACAAGGTCCACGAAGGAAAACTGAGCCCACCTATCCTAAATGGGCCATTGCCCAACACTAGATAAGGCCCAAAAGTCCCAAAATCCCAAAACTCGCCCCATTAGCCTAGAGGACGTACGCACAACATATACCATCAGTACACTTAGCGTACTCAGTCTTAAGGCAGTACGCACAACGTACATCCCAGTACACCCAACGTACAAGGCTGCTAAGAATAACCAACTATTAAGAGCTTAATGCATTCAGCCACTTCGTTAAATTCCAGATCTTGGTCGTTTTAAAGGTCCTAGGGCATAAAGTTGGCACCTTTATGCCTTTTCGTGCTTCATGGGAGCCCAACATCCCATTTTGTCCATTCAGCCTCACTTTAAGAACTCAAACCCATGCATGGTTCCATAACAACCATCAAGATAGCATTTTTATGCTTCTAACATGCCAAAGGGACTCAGATCTAGCATTTCTAACCTCCGAAGTTGCTCAAACTCACGAAAGAGTATCTAGGGACCAAAAACGAACTCACTACCAAACCCTAACTGAAGCTAGCAAAAATATTAGCAAGGTCTGAACTTTTAACATCCAAAAGCTCTCCAAGATGATGTAGATGAAGGATCTAGAAGCTCAACCACATCCAAGGCTTGCACACCATGCTCTTCTTCTTGCAAAGTCATTAAAATGGCCACCAAAGACACTTTTAAGCCCAAGGATCACACTCACAAGAAAACTAGGGTTAAAGGGACGATAACAAGCAGTGGAGGTTGATAAGAATGAGGTTCAAATGTCATAAGTGCGTTTAAATAGGGCTCATGCCCAAAGATTAGGGTTTTTGTCTTTGGCCACGTACGCCCCGCATACACCTTAGTACGCCTAGCATAAGTGGTTGAAGTCCACGTCCATAAAACCCATGGAGGCTAAGCGTACACATATGTACGCCCAGCGTACGGAAGGGCCTCTCATGCAAAATAAACTTTAACCCCAGGGTTAAAAGGTAACATACCTGAATTCTGAGTGTTACAACCACTCTTTTCCTTAGATACTGTTTGGTGATTCCTTCTGAATCTTTCCTCTTCTCCACTTGAACTACACTTCGAATCGGACGTGCAGAAGTGGATCGTTGACATAGATCTAGAGTTGTAGATGTGGATATTTGGGTTGGATCCATATTTGCTGAGGTGGATATTGGAGTTTTAAATTGGAGCTGGGGTTGAAGATCTAGGAACTGGATCACCTGTTGTTGGAATTCCTTTTGATGGGCACACATTTTTTTGTGCCCACTGAGATAGCATATTGAACACCTTTACACTTGCTTTACTCTTGATATTGTGTGCCTTCTTGATATCTCCCTTTCTGCTGCTCTTTTTTCCCACTTGGTAGATGGCCTACCAGGTAGCCTTATACTTTTTGGGGGTAAAATCATGGTGTAATCACATTGCGGCCACAAGGAGCTATCATTCAAAGGTTGAATAGTATGTATAGCAGGTGAGATTAGTCACCTTACTGTAACAACTAGCTATATAGTCCTCTAAGTTTAAGTTCATGGATGAAATTACAGCCACTCCATGTACATAGGGTATGTCGGTCAACTGTTATCCCCTCAATTCACAAGTCTTTATGAGCATGCAAATTGCATACCATTTATTACATAATACCAGCTTAAATTGTTGATACCCGCTAGGGTATACTGCCTAAAATCTATATACAAACATTAAACACGTAAGAACACATGTATATTTTTACTAAATAACGAGGAAATGCAAACATTCTTATCTTTGTTTAACCTTCAAATCTCCTATTTTCTTCCTAATGACTGGCCATATAGTTAAATCCCAAGACTCTCCCTTACTTCTCTGATGATATAACCTCTGCATCGCATAAACCCTTATATCCTCTAACATTGCTATTATTGGTTTATGTCTAGAATCAACTATTTCAACATTAAAACTCTCGGAAATTCCATTTTCAATAGTATCACAAAAGACCCTTCTACTTGAAAAGCCCTACAATAACTTTTAGGTCCCTCTCCATGAGATAATCAAATACACTACTGTCCAATTCCTCGATCTCTTGCATAACAACTTCATGTTTCTGTTTTGTGGTAGCCTTCATAGCTTTCTAAAATGGTTAAATGATCACATTTGAACCTTGTGTTAAAGTTGGCTAGTATGTGCAAAACACATAATCTATGCTCTAAATTAGGAACCCTTTCGTTGATAGCTTCAAGTAACCACTGTACAATTTAAAATTTTAAGTAATAATTAAACTATCAAGTTAAAAGTAAACATGAGTAGTACTTTGTGTCCATCGGGTAGATGAGTAAACCCATTTCTATTGCCTCTTCAATATCATCCATGAGTAGATCAAGAAACCATTTCCATGTTTCTTTGTTCTCAACAGTTACCACATCCCAAGCTATAGGGAACATGTGATTATTGGAATCCCTACCCATAGCAGCTAAGAGTTCACCCTTGCAAATTCCTTTGAGAAAGCATCTATCAATCCCAATGATTTATCTACACCCCTCAACCCAACCATCTCTTACACAGTTAAAGCATATATATAGTCGTTTGAACATTGTACTAGCATCAGGAATATGGTCTACTTCCATTCTTACAGTTGTTCCTGGATTAGCTCTTTTGATTTCAATTCCAAAGTCTCACAACCTACTATACTTCTCTTTAAGAGTGTCTTCTATCTCAAACAATGCAAACCTTTTTGCATTTATACATTGTCCAATGCTAACTATGATGTTGTATGTGTTTGAAATTTGACCTTTCATCTTCTTCAAACTAAGATTGGGGTTTTCTAAAAGTGCACTGAAATATTGTTTCCTTATCCACTTGTAAGTCACTAAGCCCAGTTTAAAAGCTCTACCACAGTTATGAGTTGATTTAATCGAATTAATCTGAAAAGTCATTTCATCTTGCATCCAAGAAGCCCACAACCTAAAAGGACATGTAGGTTCTTTACCTTTGCAACACTTCACTAGAAGTATGCCCTTATCATTCTTTTCATACCACAAATCATAACCATGATTAATAACATAGTTGTTAAGACAATCTTTGAGTTCACTAGGATTGATGAATTTTATATCTAGCACTAGAGCCATTTGATCCCATTGTTGCCCAAAAATTTGCAGGAGGTAGTTTCTCAACATTAGGAACTTCTTCCTCTTCAACATCTGGGTAGAGTTTGTTCAAGAACATGTCTCTGTGCTGTATACTTTCTCTTGTCGTTTTCATAGAAACATCCTTATCATCTACCTCATATGCGTAGCCCTCTTTATCTACTAATAGTGAATCATCATCTTCATCTTCATTGGAGTTGGTATCATCTTCAACTTTAGGCTCTACCATTTCAATACAGTCAAACAGGGGTTCATGCATATGGTACACATACACATTTACTTTCTCTTTCTCACGAAGATACTTAAGAAATTCATGGTAATCATATTTTTTATGCAATGTGGATAATCCTTGACACAATGTTTGGTCGTTTGGACAGTAGTATATATCTTTGCACATCCTTCTAGTAATCGCGTCTAAGTGGGCAACGAACTCAGAGTATCCCTTGTACTTGAAACTGGCGCACCTCATCTCATTTTTATTTGGATCAAAATACATAAATGGTCTTCTGAGGAAGTTCCCATTATGGACTTCAATGAGCGGTGTATCATCTTCAGCCATCTAATCGTGGATTTCTCTAAGAAAGATTAATAGAGACAAGTGAGAGTGAATAGAAAGAGATGGAAGAGCTAATGAGGGGGGGATACTCTTTCATGCCCTAATTTACGAAGCCTTCGACACTAAAATGCCACATACTATCTATGTAATGACCTAATATCCACATAACACCCATATATTCCATTTGCTAAATTTGTAACCGATAAAATAGGAAGAAATCAGTAAAAGGGGCGACATTTAAATGGTTGTAACAACCATATTGGTGGAATATGTACAAAAAACCTTAGGGGCCTAATGTGGACACAATTGAAACATTATTACCCTCCTAGGTCATTAACGTATTGATATTATATGTAAGACATTTTAATATGTTGCTATTACGAGGGGTTAAATATTTCTACCATCCTTAGAACATTTCAAATAGATTTACATTATGCAACACTAGAAGTTGACGCATTTTTGATGGTCAAAACCATCAAAAATAGTCAGTAGTGACAGGTTTCCGACAAGAAAAATTTAATCGGAAAAAAGCGTGAGTTAATTTTATCCAATCTTAAAATTGATGTTTGTCCAATCATGCCTAAGAGAATTCAACCAGGCATGATGGTGGTACTTGTTACCCTTTAGCATATAAATGAATGTGTTTTCAAAAATAAAACAATTAACATCAAAAACTTGGCTAATGATATTAAGGTTCTTAACTTTTAATTGGCTAAAAGTTACATCTTTATCATATTATCATTTTTACTCCAAAATGATGCAATAATGTAACACCCAGTTCCAATTAATATTTCTCTTATGATTATAGCAATTAAAATGTCCAAAATTGTAAATTTATGAAGGGCACGATATGGTGAAGGATGCACCACAACGTGACCATGGCCGAAGAAACACGCATTGTTTTTGTGTGCCACAACATGGCGATGGCTTAGCCACGATGTGGCGGCCACCAGGATGAAAACCCTAATTTTCTGGGTTCTGAGCCTTATTTTAGGGGTGTGATGGCTAGGGTTTGCACACCCTCAGCTTTCATCACCTTCCTTTTCACTCTCAAAGAAACCCCAACATCCATTATTGATTTGTGAAGCTTTTGGTGGTGTTTTTGTGCGTTGAAGAAGAAGAAGAAGGTGTCTTTGGTGCTTTTTCCAAGCAATTAAATCTCCCCATCATCATCTTGTACTATTTTTGGACTCCTGTAGGTCCTCAAGATCTTACCTTTCTCATTATATCATGCTAGATCTAGGTTTCTACCCACTTTTCTCCACGTTTGGGTTGATTGAGTGCAAGAATTCCATAAAGTTAGCAACTTTATGGATTAATGAGGTCCCTTTGTAAGCATATGTCCCAGATCTAAAGTTTATTGGTGTAATGAGCTCCATACATGAGACTCAATTTAAATGCTCTACTTACATTGGACGTGCATGGCCGAAAAGCATCATTATTTATGTTGCATTAGACCTTAGGAAGGTTCCTGGAAGGTTTAATGGATGTCTTAATGGATTGAGATATTAATCCATTAGCCTGTGAAAACCCAATTTCCACGACGTGGTAGTCTGCTCGCCACGACATGGCGACTGGGGGTTGCCCGATTGTTTTGTCGAGAAGCTGCCACGACGGGAGACCTGTTGAGGTATACTTTGACCATTGACTTTTGACTATAGTTGACTTTTGATCAATTTAAGGTTTTTAGGGAGTAGAATAAGAGGGGACTTCTTTATTGTTGTTAGGTGTCTCATAGTACCGATCTTCTCTATACTATGTAGGATGCTAGTTGTCTTTATGAATCTTTCATGTATGTTGGGTGGGGCCCGTTATGTTGGGGGGGGGGGCGTTATGCTGGATGAGGCCCGTTATGTTGGGGAGGGGCCGTTATGTTGCACGAGGCCCGTTGTTACGTATGATATACGATATTTATGGAACTCACTAATCTTTGTGGTTATGGTTTTGTTGTTTAAATGTTTAAAGTACTTTTGGTTCCAAAGCAAAGGCTCGACATGATCGCACAATATCCCCTGGATTTTCATTTTGCATTCTTTATATGATTTACTATGATATTGAGAATATTTATACTTTGGCTAGTTTTGGGACAATTGGTTGTATCATTTTGGGTGTTCTGAAAATGAAGTTTTTACTATTATTTTTAGGACGTTACAAGCTGGTATTAGAGCTTTGGTCTGAGGGATTTAAGCACACTCTCGGGTATGTCTGAACTCAAACTGAGGAATTCATAAAATATTTTAAAAGAAAATTGAGTTTTCCAAAAAGGTTTTAAGAAAAAGGGGTGCGATGCGTGCAATCATCCGAGCTCAAGTAAGTATTTCCTAAAATACCCATACATGAATGTTAGGTTTTGGTATGATTATAAGGATTACATGCTAGAATAGGGCCAAGGTTCTGCTCAGGAATGCATGATTGGATGCCTATTAGGAGAGATGCCTTTATGATGCCTTGTTTCCTATATAGTTCCGTTAGTAAATGTTGCTTGCTTTGTTCTTTTTAGGGCTTATATTGATGTTATTTAGGTATTAAATGAAATGTTAAGTAACATGCCACAAAGGTTAAATAGTTTTAGAATGATTGATTTGGCTCTATTGCACAACTCTTGTTTGAGTCCAACTGTTGTAGTGCAGGATCTTTTAGTCGAAAATTACTTAAGTTTTGTAGCATGCGGTTGTATTCACAAGGTAGATAGCTAACATTGGTAGGAATCCTTCAACAAGTAATGGCAAGGTGAGGTGGAAATTCTAGGAGAGCTTAGGAAGTATTTTAGTGCGATGGGTGCGCTGTTTAGTGAGTTTTGTGAGTATGATTATAAGGAGGTGACTTTGAAGATCCGGAATAATTATTGAAGAAAGTACGAATACGTGTGGAAGGTAGTATTGGGCCCATACTACTAAAAGCACAAGATCCGTACTCTAACAAAAAAAGGCAATTATAAGAAGCTAGTGAAATGAGGAATTCTTTGGGTATAATCTGATCTTTTATGTTTACCTTCCAGTATGGTAATGATTACCCGACATGGTGGAAGTAATGGTGATGGTACTAGTTACGATTCACACTATGGTTTTGAACCGATTGATGGGAGGACTTGGGAGTTTATCACATCAGAGATTACTCGCGATATTTTCGAGTAGACTCATGTGAACTTCAATAAGTTCAAGGAGGGAATCATGGAGATTTCAGATGAGTGTTTGGGCACTTTCCATACTGAGATTTTGGCTACTGTGGGAGCACGCACTCTTAATTTTGGAGAGTTTCATGCATGTGGGGCTCCGGAGTTTTTCGAGAAGAAGGACCCCATTGTTAGCAGGAAGTGGATTGTGGATATGACGAATGCCATTCAGACGAGTTTCTGTCCTGAGGGTTCGAAGGTCAAGTTTGCATCATGTTTACTGAAGGATATAACTTGTGATTGGTGGGAGGAGGTAGGCCATACATTGGGAGCAAAGGTCATTGAGGTGATGTCTTGGCATGACTTTGTGACCAGATTCAGGGCCGAGTTCGCGCCTGCTATTGAGGTACAAGAAGTGGCGTGGGAGTTTAAGTACCTTTGTCAGCCGATTGAGACTGTGGCAGAGATCACCACCATGTTCAGAGATAGGGCTTTGTTGGTTCCTCAGTATGTTGTGTGCGAGGAGATGAAGAAGACGATATACCATGATATGTTGTGGGATGACATTCGAGAGTTCGTGAGCATGTCGAGTTGCAATACCCTGGAGGATATGATTGCTAGAGCCCATGAGCGGGATATTGAGTTGGAGCTTTTGAATGAAGTGCAAGTAGGGATGTCAACGGGACGAAACGGGAGCGAAAATAGCTGCCACCGCCCTGCCCCGGAAATCAGTTGTTGCCCCCACCCCTGAATCCCCCGTTTATGTAGCCCACGTTCCCGCCCCCAAATACCTTCATCACCCCGATCCCGCCCCCGTCCCCCCATTTATAGGCTTTAAATTGAGTTTTTTTGCTAAAAAATTGTTATATTTTGGGCTAAAAAACTATTTTTCATAACTTTAAAAGCTTAAAATCTAGTTTTTTAACAACTAAAAAAAAATTAAAAATCCAACATTACAAATTCAACATTACAAAATGACAAATCCAACAAACTTACAAATATAAAATACAAAAAATCCAACATTACAAAAAAAGTACGACATGTCTAAAAATATATGACAAATTCACTATCGTATCGTTGTATGCTGTGAAGTGGAAGAAAGTCAAGAAACCCTAAAATTAGATAATGTATTGTCTATACATATTTTTATATTATATTATATAAAATAAGCAAGGCGGAAGCTCCTGTGGTAAGGAGTCGGTCATTCCAACTGACAACCGAGGAGGCATGAGCAGCACCGGGTTTGGTTACCGATATGTATCTTCTTAATACTCTTTACCGCTTTCCGTATCTATGCTTATGTTTATGTGCTTGTATTTAGGTATGTTCTTATTAAAAAGATTTTCCACTCTAGTTCTTTTTTTATTCGGGCACTACTCGATCATTCGTATCTCTTGCGTTCAGTAAGAGGTTTGGTGACGCTCCAGGGGAGTTAGATCATCTATTGGAGGTAGAGATTGTTGATGACTGCCCGATGAGAGTGTCGAGAGTCCACCGGGTTTGCGTTCTCAAGATGTTATGTGAGAGGTAGCCGATTGACCTGATTCCTATTCCTTTGCGTGCGATGAAGATTCTTTTGGGTATGTGTTGAAGATTAAGTGTTGCTTCATTGGGCCTATTCTTTTGAAGTCCATTTTGTATAAACGAGTTGGGCCTGTCCATTCGTATTTACTGCTAGGGTTAGTATATAAGGTGCATGCATGCTACGTATTTTAGTTAACTCTTAGAATTATCTTTGTAACCCTACTTGACGCCTCTACAGAAGCAATTCTTCATCGAGTTCTTCTGAGGCGTGCTTATTAATCATTCAGCACCTGTTTGATCATATTGTGTTCTTGTTTGCCTGCTTTAATCTATTCGATCATAAAGGATTTATTCCTATCAATTGGTA